GACGAGAACGAGAACGAGGATGAGGACAAGGACGAGGACGAGGACGAGGACGAGGACGAGGACGAGGAAGAGGACAAGGACGAGGAAAGGGAGAAGGATGAGGAGGGAAAGGAGGAAGAGGAGGAGGAGGAGGTGGTGGAGGAGGAGGAGGGATGATGATGATGATGATGATGATGATGATGATGATGATGATGAGGATGAGGATGAGGATGAGGATGAGGATGAGGATGATGATGAGGATGATGATGATGAGGAGGAGGAGGAGGAGGAGGTGGATGATGATGATGACGATGATGAAGAAGAAGAAGATGATGATGAAGATGATGATGATGATGATGATGATGATGATGATGATGATGATGATGATGATGATGATGATGATGATGATGATGATGATGCCGATGCTGATGCTGCTGCTGATTATGCTGATGCTGCTGCTGCTGATGATGATGATGATGATGAGGAGGAGGAGGAAGAGATAGGTGAGGAGGAGGAGGAGGACTGGAGCTACAAGGACGTTTATAGACCACTATAGGGCCCGAGGACCTATCACATTTAAGAGATGCAGCTGGCGTGTGAGATCTGGAAAGATGCGTTGCCACATATCTTCCCAGCCCTCGGCCGTGGTTTGGCCATGTGCACCCGCCTTCCGGACGTGCATTCAGCACATGGCTTCTTGCGGGTGCTCCACATGTGGATCCAGCCATGTACCCAGACAGCTGACGTCGTGATTTTTTCGCACCGTGGCTCCCCAGAGTTCGGACTCCTTCCCAGGGACCGTTTTTTCGTTCCTGAGTCTTTTCTCGACGGGCCTGTGGCCCGGTAAGGGCCCCAGGAGGCAGGACATTGCTCCAGACTTCCCGTCTTGATGTTTGCCAGTTGACGCGAGGTTGTCAGGCTTCTGGGTAGCGCCCGAGGACTTATCACATCTACGCGATGCGCAACGGCAGGGCCGCGTACCTCAAAGCGGACGGCACCGGCCACGCCATCGTCGGGGGCGGCTGTCTGGCTAGGGGAGGCCAGAGGTCGCTGGTGGTAGTGGGGCCGCCCCCCCCCCCCCCGCGCTGGCAGTGGGGAGCTGGGACTCGGCGGCAGGATGAGAAGGATGCCATGATGCCGTGCTCAGGATACGTCCCAGGAGTTCTGGAGCACCCGACGGCCCTCGTTCTCGTTCGTGGCGCCCGTGCGGCACACAAGGGAGTCTGGTGAACCGTGGAAGGTTTGGAGGTCTCGGCGCGTATCCCTGCCATGAGCTCGTGCTCCTCTCGGACGGGCATGGCGAGCCGGCTGCTGCCCGAGGTGCCCCCCGGCCCGAGGCGTCCCTCCGCGCGCTGCTCTCGGCCTTCGGGGGTCTGCTGCCCTCCTCGTGGGCCCTCGGGGGCTGTCTCTCTCTCGCCTCGGGGTGCGTCCCAGCAGCTGCGCCTCGCCGAGGGTGTTCTCAGGGAGTGCCCGGGTCCTCCGATCGGGCGCCAGCGGCCCAGGCCGTCTTCGGCCATCATCGGCCTCTGGGCGTCCTCGCCTCGCTCCAAGGCTCAAGTCGGGCCTGTCTCTCTACAGGGGGAATCCTCAGAATTAGTTTAGAAAATAGTTTTGGGACGATTTTTTGACCATTTTTGAATTTTTTTGGGGTCCCTTCTGGGTATAAAAAGAGATTTGCGCAAAATCCCCCTGTAGGAGGACATGCCCAACCTAATCCTAGGTCTTCGACAGAGGCTGAAACCTGCCAGAAACCTCGCGTTTTGATCTCGTCACGGCGCCGCGAGGGTCGAGGGTGTCATGGGAGGACGGGCGGAGGGACGGAGGGACGGAATGAGGAGGAGGAGGAGGAGGAGGACGAGGACGAGGAGGAGGAGGAGGAGGAGGAGGCGGAGGAGGAGGCGGAGGAGGTTCTCGAGGCCGGGGGATTGTGGAGGCCCTCGTCGTTTTCATTTTATTTTCTACCAGTGAGCGCCCTTGCAGTTTGAGTGTTTTTCCAATTAGTTTTCCTTTTCGTCGCGATTCTCTATATCTTCTTCTTCTCTCTCGTTCTTTCGTTCTTGGGTTCTCTCGTTCTCTACCTCTCTCTCTTACTCTTCGCCAGCTTTCGCCATCTTCTTCGCAAACAGCCCCACCCCGAGCATGGTCCTCGGAAGCACAAGCACCCCACGCAATGCAAGGGAATCGCCCACAAACACCCATGCAATCACTGAGACGCAACCACACATGCAATGCAACGCAACGCAGTGCAAAAGCCCCACGCAATTCAGCATCCAACGCACCACGGAAGGACAAGCGGATGTTTCGTCCCTCTTTTTTTGTTTCTCTCTCTCTCTCTCTCATCTCTCTCCCTTCCTGCTTTGCGCGCGAAGCAAAGAAGAATAGCCTATCTCTCTCCCTTTCTGCTTTGCGCGCGAAGCAAGGAAGAATAGCCTCGAAGGGGATGTGGATGCAAAGGAGGCGGAAGCAAACAATGCTATGCAGCCGCCCACAAACACCCACACGCAATCGCGAATGCAATGCAATGCAATGCAAACCACGCCACAACATTCAACCTTCCACGCACAACGAAAGGACAAGCGGTTGCTCTCTCCTTCCGCCCTCACACCACGGAAGGGCAAGCGATTGCTCTTTCCTTCCCTCTCTATCTCTCTCTCGCGCTCTCTCTCTCTCTCTTTCCCTATTCTTTTTTTCGCGCGCAACACAAAATAATAACCTCGAAGGGGAATGTGGATGCAAAGGAGGTGGAAGCGCACATTGCAATGCAACCGCGTACACGCAACCGCGAATGCAATGCAAGGCAAAGCACACCACGCAATGGAACCCCCCTGCACCACGGAAGGACAAGCGATTGTTCTCTCTTTCTCCCCCTCTCTCTCTCGCTCTCTCCCCCTGTCCCCTTCACTTCTGCGCGTGCAGCAGGGAAGAATTACATCGAAGGGGGATGTGGATGCAACGGAGGCGGAAGCAAGCAATTCAATGCAACCGCCCACAAGCGATTGCTCTCTCTCCCCTCTCTCTCTCTCTCTTTCTTCCTTTCCCTTTCCCCCTGCGCGTGCAGCAGAGAAGAATTACATCGACGGGGGATGTGGATGGAGAGGAGGCGGATGAAACCCATGCAATGCAACCGCCTACACACGCCACCCATGCAACCACGCACACGCAACCCCGAATGCAATGCAAGGTGACACGCGCCATGCAATTCCCCCCCCCGCCCCCACGCACCACGGAAAAAGTATATTGTGCTGTCCCTCCCTCGCTTTCTTTCTTTCTTTTTCTCTCTCTCTCTCTCTGTCTCTCTCCATTTGCACTTTGCGCGCTCAGCAGAGACGAATAACCTCGAATGGTGATGTGATGCAAAGGATGCGGAAGCAAACAGTGCAATGCAACCGCCCACAAACACTACTCATGCAACCGCCTGCACGCAATCGCGAATGCAATGCAATGCACAACTCGAGGAGGAAGAGGAGGAGGAGGGGGAGGAGGAGGAGGAGGAGGGGGAGGAGGAGGAGGAAGAGGGGAGGACGAGGGAGGAGGAGGAGGAGGAGGAGGAGGAGGAGGAGGAGGAGGAGGAACGAGGGGCTCTAGTGGAGGTCGGGTCCCAGGCCCGGCTCCAGCGGCCCCCCGCCCCCAGACCCCTGGCGTGTAAGCTGGACCCCCCCAGATGTCTGGATCCCTTCCCGTGGACCGGTTTCTCATCCTGAACCGTCTTTTGACGGTCCGGGGGCCCGGCAAGGACCCCCGGCGGCCAAACATGCAGGAATACCTTCCGTCGTGTTGTTCACGGTTTCAGTCTTCACACCTCGCTCGCTGAGCCCGGCCGCGCCCCCGAGCCGTCCGGTACTGGCCGAGGGAGGAGAGATGGCTGATCGACCTGGAGGGCCTGAGGGAGGCGGACGTGTGCAACGCGTACGCGGAGGCCTCGGGGAGGATCGGAGGGGGAAGAGGGGGAAGGAAGAGAAGGAGGAGGAGGAGGAGGAGGAGGAGGAGGAGGAGGAGGAGCAGGAGGAGGAGGAGGAGGAGGAGGAGGAGGAGGAGGAGGAGGAGGAGGACACCTCCAGTACTCCTTCCTCTTCGATTACTGCAGAAGGACTACATACAACTGAGCCTCGCAGAGGCACATGGTGCAGTCACGCTCACAGAAGAGTCTCCTGCCGTGACTTCCTTCTACCACTGATGCGCCCTACACCCTCCTCCTTTGTCGCTGTTCGGACGCGCTGGTGGCACCTCTCTCCCTAATGCAGGCTCGGGGTGCTCCTCTACAAAGCCCTGGGCCGCAGCCCGAGGATTGCATGCTTCCTTTTTTTTGCAGGTTTTTGGCAAGCCTTGAAAACCCTGGGTCGCAGCCTTCGTATTGCTGGCTACCTTTGAGGGACCCTGGTACAGGCTACCCTCGTTTCACAGCGCACGTTGTGCGCACTTGGGTCCCCACAGGGTCTGACCCCGATTCGCAGTTATTATCCTCATTCCTCACCTCCTTTTTCCTTTTAGCACGAGCAGGCACCCTCCACTGATGGCATGCATACCGGCAACAATTCTTATTTGCCTTACTGGCGTTCGTACCAGCCAGGCCAGACACACTTCAGCCGCCTAGACCTACAGGCGAGCCTGTAAAGGCCAACCTTGAAGAAGGATGGACGGACGTTGCTGTGGTGGAGGGGTGGGGGTCTTAGATTTTTGGATTTACGGGAGGTGGCGGAGAATTACCCAACAGAGAGGGCATATTATTTTTTTTGAGGTGCCACTCCGTACCTGTAAGCATTTTGCCTACATGAGGAGTTCGAGCACCAGCTGTCGCTACACTGCAGCACACCAGCCGCATACGTCCGTCTCTGTTTATTGGCAACACATTTTTTTACTTGCAGCAAAGGGCAGCATCCCAATAACTGCTAGTTAACACGGTCTTTACCAGCAATACAAACCACCTCTTGCCGCATACAGTGTGCACTTGGGTCCCTCACGGGGTCGACCCCATCAGTACAGGCACCCTTTTTTCAAGCCAAGCATGCCAACAGTGTTATTTATGTATACTGGCATTCGAACCAGCATGCCAGGCTCACATTTCATGATGTTAGACCTACAGGCCAGCCTGCACAGGCCAGCCCTTGCAGCGTACCCGACCAGCTCCTCACCTCGTTCATTCGCTTTCTTTCTTGCTCACAGTTGCTGCTTGCCAGGATGGCGCATACTCGTGAGGTTCGGAGGGATGTCGGAGGAGGATTACCGGAAGGAAAGTGGAGGAATGCAGCAGTGCTACCTGTCAGCCGCACTTATGTTTAATGGCCTATACTTCGCTACTTCTCTGATTGGCCGTACTGGTCCCTGCTCACTCAGATCCGGCGGTTTAGGGTCAACCAGACAACTCTGACCCACAGCAAGGGCACGCTCGCTAAAGGTACCTCAAGCATACAGGCCAGCCTACACAGGCCAGCCTTTTGCGACATTTCTACGGTCGCATGTACATGCATCGTGGACAACAAGGGTTCGTGCTAAACCCGAAAAGAGCAATACAAAAAGCACGAGGGTCCTGGTACCGCAGTGGTTCGGGGAAACCCAAACAACCCTGGGCTGCAACCCAAGAGCTGTCACGCACAGCTTTTTCTTTGTCTGACTTGATGCCTGCCCATCTCAGCAGCTCACTACATTCTCTCCTCGACAGTCCCTCACTCCACGCACGCGTCCCTGGCATATCCACGCCTTATTTCTCTTCCACAGTAGCGCGGCCCAAAGTCGCCTACACATTTGCAGTTCCTTACTTGCCACGGCAGCACCAGCTAATGTCACACTTAGCCTTGCCATATCTGGTCACAGGCTCTTAGCATCCCCCCAAGGCCAGCCTCACAGGCCAGCCTCAGCAGCGGCATACTCCTACTTGAAGCAGCTTGTACCTACATTTCGGGTTTGCTGGCTTTACGGTGTCTTACAGAGGTGCATGATGCTTCCATTTGGGAGCTCAAGCAGCCACGCATTTAATTTAACGTGAACGTCACCGCGTCCAGTCACTGCGCACTTTATGCCGCAGCGTGTATCGAATGTGCGCGGGCAGGGATTGGGTTTGTACTTGAAGGAGAGGAGGAGTGCACCTACCAATGTGCCAGAGCTGCCCTTTCTTCGCGGACCTGGAGGGCGCCTATTCAAGTGTCTACTCTTTTCATAGTCTTGCTTTCCCACGTGGCCCGCGGCGCCCGCCAGGTACTTTTTGCTTGGGCCGAGTCGAGTTCATATTTCTTTTGCACTGGCGCCACAAGGTAACCTTACGTCGGGTTTGCATGACAGCAGGAGGAGGAAGAGGAGGAGGAGGAGGAGGAGGAGGAAGAGGAGGAGTAGTAGTAGTAGTAGTAGTAGCAGTAGTCGTAGTAGTAGTAGTAGTAGTAGTAGTAGTAGTAGTAGTAGTAGTAGTAGTAGTAGTAGTAGTAGTAGTCGTAGTAGTAGTCGTAGTAGTAGTAGTAGTAGTAGTAGTAGTAGTAGTAGTAGTAGTAGTAGTCGTGGTGGTGGTGGTGT